TTTAGCAATATCATTTATTAAAAAAAACTTACTTGATTAAACCCGTTATATATCGATTTATATCGATTGCTTTAAAATCGGTTATATATCATTATATATCATAATTGATATAACTCAGCAGGGGTAATTATTATCAATATATATCTAGTGGATTATCAATTGATATATATCTCTATATAAAATTTCCTGATGAATGCATTCAAAATGAACCTTATATCTGCATGATAGTAGTATGAGTAGTTTAGAAACGGAAGCATCAAGCCTTAATAAAGGCACTTTAGAGATTACTTCAGAACACTTTTTACAAGCTTCCTCAAACAGATTGTCATTAAATTCAAAATCATCTGAAGGTAATAATGGATCGCTATCATCAACCTTGCCACATAAGCAATATAACGTTCTTCTCTTATCAGTTCCTCTTGCACAAGTTCGGTAGATCATATCACTACAAACATTTAAAATAAGAGATCTAGGTGAATCTTCTGTTAAAATAAGCTTATCACATTCTTAACATGCTCTATAATCTGAGATAGCTTTATTAGATTTAATCGACGAAAAGTCTGGCTCTTCATGAAGAATATCCTCTGGGAGGTGTTTCAATATATGTAATGCAAGTGTTTTTAGATCCTGGTTGTACTTCGTAAATATCTCTGCTTTGGGTAGAGGTGTTTATGATGCCCTCCATATTGTCAGATAAGTTGCTTTCTTGATTTGGTCCCTCTGTAACCCTTTTCGTACTTTTTTCTCCACCACCACCATCATCATCATCATCATAATAAACTAGATCACCTATATTATTGTAATCTATAGTAGAAGTCGGGTTTATGCTTCCTTGATTTTCCATGATAAAGTTTTTTGAAAAAAAGAGTATAAGAATCTTATTATTTTCTTGCTAGTTTTATAATGTTGCAGGAGTAAGTTAATGCCAGATTTTCATTAGCAATTATGCACTATATTTCGTCATCTATTAATCCCTTGCAAATCAATAAAAGAATGACGAAGGATTAGCATATACACTCCAAAACCCCATATGCAAAATAATAATTGCCAGTAAAAATATCTATACCTGAATATTGTTTTGTAAATATGATAATAGCATGGCTGGAGACATGATATAAAAAAATAAAGTCGAAAAAATAATGTGAATATATATGCTAATCTTATATCGCACAGCCCTGCCTCCTTGATTATCGATCTGCAGGGTGAGATAATATAACTCAAATTAACTTTGTAAAAATTATGTGATAGATTTTTTTTTCTAAGCTATACAAAGAAAAAAAGAGAATTTCTCCGATATCTTCTGCACATTTCAGGTGATTGGCCTATATGACGAATTTTCGTCTATGCTTTTACTGATACTATTGAGATCCCAGGTCTAAGAGGATTCTTGCATTTAATACGATAAGTTCGTTCTTCACAATAGTCACCATCACCCTATTCACCTCTTATATTATTCCATAAACTTTCTTCTTTGTGATCTCTATTACATAGTGGGCAGAGCGTGGAGATATTAAAATCAAATCGCTCACTACGTCTACTATTATTAATAAAATATAGAAAAGGGAAGCACTCTAACACCAGCCCAATGATATGTTTTCGTTTCTCTTCGGGATCTTCAGGCAAGATAGAAATTGGGAGTCAGGATCTGTTAGATTTACTAATTTAATCAGAAGAAGATGTGGATGGTACATTTACTTGAGATTTAGACAAATCATCTGAACTGATTCCTTTGGAATCACTTGAAGAATTAGAGACATGAGATAAAGAAATAGGTGTAGTTGATGTTAGCTTTGCTAATGGCAAGACCTCCAATACATTATTCTGATCAGATCCCTCTGGAACCTCATCATCTTGTTCTTTATCCTCAGCTTTATCAGTGAATTCCATATTGGGTTTTTTGATAAAGTAATCTATAATTGTTTGAATCTGAGGAACAGTAAATTTCAAAATAGTATCTGCACTATATGTTTTTATGTATTGAAGCTTGTCCATTCCTATTTTTTCGAATAAATCGTCAATCCTCAAAGCTTTCTGTGTTTGTCTATATAAAGTTTTGCGTTTAGTATTGGGAAGTTGTTTGATAATAAAATTGTATATCTGATCTTTTGCTTTCTTTTCCCCAACTTTGTTGCTGACTATAAAATCTTTATACATTCTCTTGAATTCTCTAGCATAGAAACACTAATGCAAAGTTTCTTCTCTATTGGCTTCGATTGCTTTCTTTTCTGTACCGTATGCAGTTTCATATAGACTAATAATATCAGAGTAGACTGCTCACTCTTTATTTTTCTCTGCTAAAGAATTTGGGCGAACTTGGTTTGCTGAAATTTTAGTTACAGCCAAGAGGATGTGTTTTTCTTTCATGGATGAATTAATTTCTTGAATCAAACTCTATTCGTTTTTTCGCTGAAGTTTTTTCTCTCTATTCCTTTGCCTAATCCT